CCAGACTTCCGCTCAGCAAAAAAAAAACCCCACTCCACGCCTTCGTCCGGCATCGCTGACCAGCTCCGACAACGACACGCCCCTGTACCCGCATTGCCCCAGTCACGTCCGCGCCGCTGCACTCCATACACTACACAAACTACCCCCGCCCGCCCCCAGTCCAGCAGCAACAGCAATGTCCAGAGGAACACTCGTGAGAGAATATAAAATCGTGGTCGTCGGTGGAGGAGGTGTCGGAAAGGTGAGCAGCCGGAAAGATTGAAACGTTTGGGATCGTCGGGGATTCGCCAAAATGTGTACCAGGCCGCCCCTTGGGTTTCGCGTCAATCTCTACCATTTGTTGCAACAGAGAATGCGGCCCACCGAGAATGACCATCTAAAAGGGCATACAATGTGGTGATAAATCGCTCACAATTATCCGCTCTCTGGCTCCCTCCTTTTTTTTCCTCCTTCCAGTCTGCCCTCACGATCCAGTTCATTCAATCTCAGTTTGTGGACGAATACGACCCGACAATTGAAGACTCGTACCGCAAACAATGCTCAGTAGATGGGGAGAATGCAGTTCTGGATGTTCTCGACACAGCGGGACAAGAAGAGTACAGCGCCATGCGAGAACAGTACATGCGGTCCGGGGAAGGGTTCCTTCTCGTGTACAGCATAACGTCGCGATCCTCTTTTGAGGAAATTCAAACCTTCCATCAGCAAATTCTGCGCGTAAAAGATAGGGACTGGTTCCCAGTCACTCTCGTGGGAAACAAGTGCGATTTGGAAGGGGAGCGTGTGGTCGGAACCGCAGAGGGCCGCGAACTCGCCAAAATGTTCAAGTGCAAATTCATGGAGACTTCCGCCAGAAGCAAAATCAACGTAGACGAGGCCTTCTTCTCCCTTGTTCGAGCTATCCGAGACGAGAACAAGAAAACACCCGGTGGTGCTCAGCCTGTCAAAAAGAAGAAGTCGAGGTGCATGATCATGTAAAAGGAACCAGGAGATTCAAATCCCGGGAGTTGTACGAGAGAACGGGATATCAGTGCACTAAAGGAAAGACGAATTTCTACGCGCGCGCGCGGTGCGCCGGCGCTGAGGTTCCCCCTTCCCCATTGCTTTCCCTTTTTTTCACGCCATGGGAACCAACACTGGATGACGGTTGAAGCGGAATGGTTCATAACCCGTTGCTGATTCTCTACGTCCCCTCTGCGATACCTTTTTTGTTGTTGTTTCATTGCTTGATCACCTCCTTTTCGTCTCCTTGCTCGCGTCGCTCCGTGGGGTTTCTCCCCCGTTTCGCCTTTTGCTGTGCGGTTGTGTGTACATTTTAATAGATTATTTGGAAGTTCTCTGCAGAATGGATATGTGTCCCATTTCTCGCGTTTGATCTCATACTCCGATGTGCAAACGCTTGCGTAGGAGTCAATACCGTTTATCTTATCATCCGTACTTGGTTGGCGTTGTGAACTGTTCTTCCTGGCTATATTTCGACCTTCCGTACGCTTCATAGCAAGAACCGAAGGTGAGGGAGAATCGGAACGGTCTTGCCATCGTCTTGATGTGTTTCATCGACGTCAGTAGCCTCTGCTGTCAATGGCCAAAGCAGTCAATCCCTGGCGGGTACAATTGTGATCATTGATCTCATAACCTGACCTGGCGTGAACATTATCCTTGAAAATACCTTGGCAAGTTCGTTTCCCACGGTCCAAAAGCTCTTCTTGGGATGTGTCGCATGAGAAGGCGAGACTTCCAAGTCACAACCCCAGGCAGTTCGAAGCCGAGATAGTTACAAGTACTTTCATTGAGGACACACTGAATGATATAGACGCAAGCGAAGAGAGAGGTCGTCGCTTCCTATGCGAGGGAGCATCATCAATTCCCATCTCTCGTTTCAAAGAGCTGCGCCACAAAATGACAGCGCAGAATGTACAGTATGTCCACTCCGGACCTATGCGGCTGCTGAGTTCCTCGTGGGCGGGCCCAACGAAGTGGTTACACGAGCAACAGAATTTCTTCGTAGAGGTGGACCCCCATCAGAGGAATCAATCCGCTGTTTGGGTATGGCTGGGGCCCCTCATATAGTTCTGCAGCTTTTTGGGCAAATGTGAAAAGTCTCCTCAACTTGCCGATCGATGGTGCCAAACGGATGGATTTCATCGCTTCCCCAATTATACAACATGCCGACGTCCGGAAGGAGTGCTTATCCTGAGTCTGACTACCGGACCTGAGGCAATGGGACGTTACGTTACGCCTTGCGACGTTGTTGGCGACTCGGGTGTACTTTAGCAACCCCGACCAACGGATGAGTTATTTACGATCTAGATCCTAACATATCCTTGGACATTGAGGGGGTGCCAAACCTTTGGCGAGATTCACCAACTCTCCCTGAAAGGCTACCGCGAATCTGGTTGAACTCTGAAGCATTCGAGGCGGCCGCCCGGCAATATACTTACTGAGGCAGCAAGGATGAAGACATACGTGGTCAATCGTATCTTTACATTACAGTATCTCCACACCGGAAAGCAGCTATCGAAACTATCATTATTGCCACCACTTATTCTTAACATACCGAAAATCACGTTGATTTACACCATAGTTGGTGGGAGAGGACAGTCGAGCAGTTTCCATCGATTTTCACCAAAGCGCGTTTCCTTTCATCCGCGCCACGCCGCTGCCCGCGCCTCAGGGTTTCGTGACGTTGGTGTTGGAGAAAAAAAGAACCCTCTTCGAAAAAGCATTATTGTGCAGTCGGTTGAACAAAACCCCTGACAATCGATAATTGACGTCAACGGGGAATCGTCTGTGGGTCTTATCTGGGAACGGACATAAGTGGGATTTCTGGCGAATGATGAGGTCGCTCCTAGCGTCAGCGCGAAAGTGCGAGGAATGCTTGACTCAATACACCATGACGATGTCGGGCAAGAACATTGCCCTATACCTTCTGGTTCTCACATATCTCAGCTCGATGTGAGTTCCATGTGAGTTTCTCGTGCTTCCAAGGCAAAGGGATCGTCACATAGTTTCACTATTGACCCACGTTCCTTGTTTTCCTTTGGCTTGTCACAGTGTGACAGGCGCCGCAACACCTCGGTTTCCGACGGGTTGCTGTGCACCAGCACCAGCAGATGCACCGGCGGCTTCATGCCTCCCGTCCGATGCTAAGGTCATTCACCGGGACACCAACAACCCGGAATACGTTGTGCACGCGAACGGGCAGGCAATCTTCCGCATGAGAAGTCCTGCAGCAATTATCTTTGCTACATCGCCCGAGCATGTGTCCCAAGCTGTAAAGTGTGCGAATGCGAACGGCATAGTACCAGTTCCCAGGTAGTTCCTTAATAACCTACGTCGAGAAGCCATTCCACGCTTCTTACCCAAGTTGCGTTCTGTGCAGATCGGGCGGCCACTCGTACGAAGGCCTCAGTTCGCTGAACGATGCGCTGGTGATTGACTTATCCCGAATGTCCACGGTGCAATTCCCGTCCGACGGGTCCAACACGGTTGTTGCATCACCAGGGATCCGACTTGGGAATCTCTACACTGCACTGTACGATCGCGACCCCAGCTGGTCGTTTCCCGCGGGAGTCTGCCCAACAGTTGGTCTTGGTGGGCATGTTGCAGCGGGCGGTTATGGCGCCATTGTGCGGAAACACGGCTTGGCGGCCGACAATGTCGTTGCTGCGACAGTGGTGTTGGCTGATGGCTCAATTGTCAAAGCCAGTGAAGCTGAGAATAGGGATCTTTTCTTTGCGATCCGTGGAGGTGGTGGAGGATCATATGGGATTGTGGTGGATATGACGCTGAAAGTGGCTCATGTCCCATATCATTATGTGGCCAAAATCACTTACTGGAACATAGAAGACACCGACAAGATCGTCGAGGCATGGTACAACTGGCTGCAAGGTCCTTTAAGCAGGAGTGACTCACCGGTGCCCAATGGTGGCGGGAAGACCTTTGACGGCCGAGACCTCAACATGCAACTGAACGTGTTCAAAGATTCTCTGAGTCTGGTCATTCATTATACCCCATCTGATCGGCGGTCAGCTGACGAACTCGCACAAATATTAAAGCACTCTGGAATGGCGGGAGACAATGTCGCTTTTGGCTGGGAATGGTCTACCTTTCCTACTCAAGTCAGCACTCTGATCGCCCATGCTTTCGCTTATGGAAAAGAAAATTTGGACGAAAATGCAGCGCGAGAAGTCGTTAGCGTACCCCAAGACCACTCGGATGAGTCCTGGAAAGACCGCTCGAGACTAAAGAGCGAATATGTCAGTGGACCGCTCCAGTCTGGATTCTATGCGACGATCCGGGACATTATCCTGCAGGCACGGTCACAATTGGGGGGCGCATTTGCAATGATCCAGCTTGAGCCGTATGGAGGAATACTCGCTGATACACCTCAAGACATTAATGCCTTTCCGCATCGCTCTGCACAGTAAGTCACGCATGCAACTTGAACCCCGAATGCCCCAGCCCATCTCCTCCTGGAATTCGGTGTCCATTAATACCCAATCTCTTCCCCCAGGTTCGTGATTCAGTACGGACTCTACTTCAAGCGTTCACTCCCCGACCCCGAGATCCCCAACGGTCTGGCTTGGTTGAACGAAACACAACGCAAGCTTGAACCCTACGTCAGCGGTGGCCACTATCAAGGCTACGTGGATCTAGACGTCCAACCGCAGTCGTTCTACGGCCAACATCTTGACACACTGACGCGGATCAAGCACAAGTATGACCCGACCAACAGATTCTGGTCGGATTTGGTGCGGCCAAAGAGTAGGAACACCATTTGGTTTGGAGAGGAATATGCTCATTAAAGATGGCGTTTTTGTAAAAAGTGTGTCCAATTTGTGTAGTACCATGAATGACGAAGGATTCTGCATGACACACAAACTGCTCTTTCAAAAAAGAACAAATGATGTTACGCGCATGCGAGCAGTCTGGGATGACGGACATTAGCCAAGCATTTCTACTCCCTTCTATTTTGGGGGTTCAAGCCAAAGACTTCCATCGCTTCTGTGGCGCAATTGGTTAGCGCGTTCGACTGTTAGTCTCTACCTTAGCTAAGCAATCGAGAGGTTGGCAGTTCAAGCCTGCCCAGGAGCGTTTGTTTTTTTGTATCATTTTAAGCATCGAACAGGCATTCTATTTTGTTGAACGCAGATGCTAGCATATCCGTATGTTAGAGGGTACTTTATCTTGTAACCCCCGGCGTACGAGCTCTAGTTCTGTGTTTAGTCTCGCCTCCGAAGGAGAGCCAGCGCCAGGAATGTAATTAACTACCATCCTCGCCGACACCCCTAAATATCTGACCCGTTAATGGAAAACCAGCCTCAAAGTCTCCAAGTCCTCCGCTTGGCATTTCCGCGAAAGGATATATCCTGGCAGGTTGATCGACCTGCGAGGCGTAGGGTTCGAATAAGAAGGCGTATTCCCACCGCCACTTGGAATTGGGACAGAGCACAATGACGTCCTTGATCTGGTAAAACGAGGGCAAAATTTCGTCAGAGTCATCATCAGAGTCAAAGTCAAGGCTCGTGTCCTTGACCCATGCGGCAAAGGCTTTCCCATCGTCGGCGAGAAAAGTCACGGGCTTCCTCCATGTGGTTGGTCATCATACTGTCAAAGAGGTCGCGGTTCTCCGTGACTAATTCCACTATCGATACATAACGAGATTGTGTAGGATACGGAAAGGGGTGCCTGTCCCCTGCACGAAGAATAGAACAGCGGTCGCCGCGAGGCCTCAGGCCGTGCTGGTTTCAAAGGGAGCAACTGTCTGGGTGCTAGGGGGCCAGCGTTGCCTTTGGAGTGCTGCTGGTTGAACAGTTGATGTCTTTTCCCATCTCAGATTGGTCTTGACAGCGGAAAGCCCAACCGACGTCTAGTTTAGGCGACGCCTGCTTTCCGTACCGGGATAACACCCCCCCCTGGTTGCCGTGAAGTCATCTCCGCTGGATTTTGTCCAAAGGTTTTCATATTGGAATTGGAGTGTGTTCTGGCACTCACAGTCACTCTCTATTGTGCTGTGATCCATACCCCACACATCATGCAGTGACACAGAGTCTAGCAAACCGTCTCAAAAAGCGCAACAATGATGAAAGGTAGTGTAGCATGTACAGTATGCGTATTATCAGCTCGGCCATACACCCTATACAGTAGAACGATCCCGTCTGATCTGCGCCGCAGAACTGCGCGGAAATACTGTGTGCGGTCGCTTTTGCCCCAATTACCCTTTTCCTTGCTCCCCCCTCCCGTGACCTCTTACTTCTCATTTCCCCATGTGCCTTCCCCTTTCTACTATTCCCCGGTTTGAAGTCCGCGTGAGTCAAGACTAACACGATTGTGTGTATAGCTCGCGGTTCCGTTGTGAATTCCAAGTCGCGAACTCAAAATTGTGCTCCTGTCCAACCGTACACTGTCCAGCAAAGGACGTCTTTTCTTGAGTATCGGTGATCTCCCCTTTCAGAAGCGTTTATTAAAGGATTCGCAGAAGTTCAGCCCTATCAGTAGGCGGCAAGAATGTCCCGCAAACGATTAACTGAGGAGTTGACCGCCAAGGATCTCGCCACCAATGACGGTGCGGAATCTGCTGGGACACAGGAAAGAATGACGGCCCGAAAAACGTCAACTCATGCTTCCACCACGATGCGAAATGATGGCCGCCTCTGGAAAAACCAAAGTCGCCCCAGTGTGTTGCTCGCCGGTGGATCTTTCCGAACTCTGCATGGTCGCTGCCGGACTGCTGGAAGGGTCGCCGCGGCCAATTACATGGCCGTAGAGAACGCAGGCAGAGGCCACCGTGCGTTTAATACGCTGGTGAGAGAATGGGAGAGGCTGCCGTCAGCTCCGAATCGGACTTTGGCGACTCCAGTCATTACCGAGAATGAGGCTCACCTTACAGTCTTGGACCGTTCGACCGAATCACCGACTATACGTATGTTGAAGTCTCTGGACTACCTCAATGTGCTGTTAAACTGACTCATCCTCCCATAGCGCCAAATTTGCGTTTCCAACTGCCGTCTTCGGATCTTCTTGATGCCATACATACGTATACGTCGGAGTATTACTCTCTCGAGACTGCAACTGCTGCTGCCGAGAAAGTGCACCCGAGATCGGATATGAACTATGCATTCGATCGTTCGGCTCTCCTGGCCATGGGAATCCTAGTCGAGGAATACATGCGGAGTCTTATTCCGGGCGCAAGAGATAATCTAGTGACAGCAGAAGATTGCGAGCGTGCGCGGGCCCCAACCTTCTCAGAAGTAGCTGGTCAACCACCGTGCGTTGAGGAATCCACAAATCCTGACGGGAACCGTCGCAACTTTCGGTACAGGAGCCGACGCGCCAGCCGCTATGTCCGCGCGCCCGAGCCCGAAGCACGACCCGACGATGAAATGGAAGACGCTTTTGGCCATGACTATGAGTCAGCGTCTCAGGATGATGATAGCAATGAAGGAGATGATGAGGGCGACGTGGAGTTGCCTGATACAGATCCTCGAAATACTGGGTCAGACGACGCCATGTCGGTTGAGTTTATGTAACAAGCGCTGACATGAAGGTCTGACAGTTGGTCTTACGAATTGAATGTGGTCTGCGGGAAGCCCATCTGCTGTGAATCTCGTCCCCAAGTATGCTGCAAGGACCACTAGTGCCTGATGGCTTCCCGGGACTGCACTGTATGTGGAAGCCATTTCCCAGACAGAATGCCAACCGTGCGCTGTGCCCGTCGGCCTCCTCGTTGCTCTTACGCTTTCCTCAAGAAATCATGCTTTTCCCCAATATTCCACTCCAAGCAGTTGCGGATGTTGACAGCTGTCATAGTAAGATAGATAATATTGAGAACTTCGCGAGTAGCTACGATGAAAACTAAGCTGACAGCCTGCTTTTCCGTTTCTTCATAGCATGAGCACCCCAGGCTCGTCCCTACTGTCAAAGCCCTCTGCATCGATCGCATCGCATGCGAGGCTGATGAGCTCTGCTATGGTTGAATGCTAACATCGGACATTAGAAAAGGGATGTATTTTGTGAAACAAACATATTTTGAGTTACTGCGCCAGTTACACAGATAGACGAGCGGCGGATCATGCAACAGATGCAATTCCAGGATCATTGCTTGACGGGAGATTTAATACGTGTTTTTGGTGCGGGCGGCTTGTAAGCCACCCGCTTCTTCATCATGTCCTCGCGGGACGGAGTTCCCGGAGTTCCGGCCGATGGCCTCACAGCGGTCGTTCTGTAGTGCTTCTTCTGCTGCGAATCGCGGCAGAATGGGATGTGTCTTGCAGCCGTGTCTTTCTGGAAGCGGCGGTTGCAATATTCACACGGCACCAAGTCTGGGTCAGGCTCTGAAGGGACAAAGTTTGTTCGAGAGGCAGCGCCTGATCCGCTAGAATCCGTGTCGAGCGGCTGTCGTGCGGCACGAACCATCTGGATGAACTTGTCGTGCTTGACGCGCCAGTTTGCGGGTTTGGGTTTCAAAGGTGTCGCGTCGTGCGACACAGATGCCTTTGTCTGTCGACCAATGACGTTTGAGTTTTTTTGCCGTCACGGACCATGTGCAGATCATCGTAATAGATTACTGCCTCACCTTGTGTTTCTCATCAGCCATAACTTCTCTGATCTTCCCAGCGTATTGTTCTAGCTCGGTTCCTTTGATCCGCGCTTTGAGAGGATCATACACCTTTCGGGGCTTCAGCTTGGAGCATGCCACCGCATGTTTATCCTGGAGGACATCACGGCGGCATTAGGATCGCGCGCTAATCAAGCAAACATTTCCACAAAAATTGCGATAAAGGGAGACGAATCACTGACCAGTCTTTCTTGTTCAGCAAACTTTCTCCCGCAATTGGGACATGGATGGCGATCATCAAGCGTAGCTGTCTGTGTTGGAAATTCCTCCACCTCGTCATTCCACTCTGGTCTCACTGCCTGTGGACGACTAGCTGAAACTGGAGGGGAGGGCTGCCGCTGCGCTTCCTGCCAATCAAAGTCTTCCAAATGATCCTCTTCGTAATCGTCATCGTATTCGTAACTCTTTATGGGGTTTGAGTCCGCAACGGCCAACTTGTGTGCGCTGATGGTCCGAGGCGAGGCCGTCACAGCTGCTGATTGCGAAAGAACGGTTTTCTTCGGTACAAATCTGCTGCTGCTGCTGCTGCTGCTGGTCATACCCCTCGTCGGACTTCCAGCCTGCTCTGCAGCTTCTGCAGCCCCGAAAACTTTGCTCTGTGGACTGGGATAGTCGGCTCCAATTTCCCACTCGGCCTCATTGGCCAGACGCTGATTGTACATTGAACGCTGTGCTGCTTGGTTGAGTCGGTTGAGCTCGACCGCACGATCGAGCTGCGCCGCTATTCCGAGACCTGGGCGCGACAGTCCAGTCTGCCTCAAGGCTGTCAGAGTGTGTCGGTCGTCGGTTGCCGTTGCGGAGCGCTCGGTACCGCGACATGTTCGCAAGTGTAGCGACAGTTTTTGGTGTGGGATATTCTCCATGCCTTAAATGACAAAGTGAACGCATTTTAATTGGGACCAAGTCCTCACGATAGCTTTTTTGGCAACGTATTGAGTAATCACAGACGTACAGTTAGTGCAGGGATACCCCGAGGTGCGCCCATCCGGAGCAGCTGAAAACGCCGGGCCGTTCCGTGTCTTACGATCGCCCGTGCGGACACTTTTTCGCAAACAGCTGTATGTCGGGCCAAGAATCCATCACACGACAAAGGTCAGCATACTTTTGTGCTTCCCTTATGATTCACTAACGCTCATGAGGAATGGTACCTTCGCTGGTGTGACGGCAAGGACGCTTTTGGGAATGTTCCTCCACAGATGTGGCAAAGACGCCCATCTTTAGACGCGGAAGTGGGTGCGCTCTGGGCCTGTAACGCTGGTTTACGGGGACCATCGCTATACTCTGCATCCATCCTAGTGGCCATCATCTTTAGCGAGTTGATAACCCAAAAAATCCTTCCCTTAGCGAAGACGGCAGTGTGCCAAACAAGAGACTGACGGCAAACGCGCGTGTCGGTCACTTTCGCGGTGGTTACGCGATTCAGTGCAAAGCCACTTCGGCCCACTTTGTGATAGCGCAAGCAGAGAGAAGACCGACA